GGGAGGGTACCCTTGGATTTTCTCGTGCACCCTTGGGAGGGTACCCTTAGATGTTCTGTGTATTTCGGCCGGCGGACGGTCTGGTGTTTTTGAGGAATGTTCTTTTGTCCCAGCTTCGAGTATATGGGATGGGAAATCGAAGCAGTGGGGAAGGGGAAGGGAGGTGGAGAGAGGCGAGGGAAAGGAAGATGAGGGAGCTGATGAGGAGGGAGGACGCGGTCCTCGACATCGGTCGACATGGTTGCGTAAAAGCGCGCCCCCAGGGGTCCCCGGGGCAAGTTTTTCGCTCAATCTCAGAGTTTGATGGCCCCATGGTCCCGAAAACGGGCCCCGGGATGCCGGAATCGCGGAAAAGCTTGCCTGATTGGAACTCATTTGTGCATTTCAGTTTCTGGCACGTCCCGTTGTGAGCGTCTGGCTGGGAGCGTCTGGGCGTGAGAGCGAATGCGAATGGGCGACGGGCACGACGACGACGATGACGATGGTGGCGGCTACGAGAAGAGACAGCGACGACGACGCCAGCTGACGAACAGTCGGTGAGCTTTTTTTTTGTCTCCCTTCCTACCTCCCCCTCCTCCTTCTCCTCCTCCTTCTCCTCCTCTTCCTTCTCCTCCTCCTCCTCCGCCTCCCCCTGCGACATCCCCACAATCTGGCCGCGCACAGGGGAGTGCTCCCACCCTGGCTGCTCCCCCTTGGGGTGCCCACTTGCCACACCTGCTCTATCGTTGTGAGCACTGGACCACTAAAAGAAATGATTCCAGTGCGACCCTACCTAGGAGTTGGAGCCTCTAGGAAAGCAACATTAGTAGGAGCGGTAAACGCTGTCCTCCTCCTTCTCCCCATCGTCGTAGTTGTAGCAGTAGCAGTAGCGGTAGTAGTAGTAGTAGTAGTAGTAGTAGTAGTAGTAGTAGTAGTTGTAGTTGTAGTTGTAGTTGTAGTTGTAGTTGTAGTTGTAGTTGTAGTTGTAGTAGTAGTAGTAGTAGTAGTAGTAGTAGTAGTAGTAGTAGTAGTAGTAGTAGTAGTAGTAGTAGTAGTAGTAGTAGTAGTAGTAGTAGTAGTAGTAGTAGTAGTAGTAGTAGTAGTAGTAGTAGTAGTAGTAGTAGTAGTAGTAGTAGTAGTAGTAGTAGTAGTAGTAGTAGTAGTAGTAGTAGTAGTAGTAGTAGTAGTAGTAGTAGTAGCGCCAGAACCGCCGACGCCACGCCGTAAGTGAAGCAGCAGCAGAAGCAGGCAGCAAGTCGCCGAGACAGCAGCAAAAGCAAGCAGGCACGGAGATGAGGGCGGGGCACTGGGGAGTTCTTTACATCTACATATATATCTACACCTACATCTACATCGACACCTACATCTACATCTAGACCTACATCTACACCTACAGTTACATCTACATCTACACCTACATCTACATCTACATCTACATCTACATCAACAGCGAGACTCACATATACATCTACCTCTACACCTGCATCTACACCTACATCCACATCTACATCTACACCTACACCTACATCCACATCTACACCTACACCTACACCTACATCTACATCTACATCTACATCTACACTTTCGCATTGGTTTTGCTTTTGCTTTGCATTGCCTTCGCTTTTGCTCTTGCCTTTGCTTTTGCCTTTGCCTTTGCTTTTGCTTTTGTTGTTGCTGTTGCTTTTGCTTTGCTTTTGTTCCCTACCTAGGCTCTGCCTAGAAGGGTTCTCACTCTGTAGCTTAAAGGGGCCGGGAAGTGCAAACCGCCCCGGGCGGTTCCCCCAGTCCCCTAGGAGCCAAGCAAAAGCAACAGCAAAGGTGAAAGCAAACGCGCGGTTCCCCCAGTTGCGCTCCCTGGGTGCCAAGCAACAGCAAAGGCAAAGGCAAAAGTGAAGGCAAAAGCGAAGGCAAAGCAAAAGCATAGCATAGCATAGCATAGCATAGCGCAGCATAGCATAGCGCAGCATAGCATAGCAAAGCCTAGCCTAGCCTAGCCTAGCATAGCCCAGCATAGCATTGCGCAGCATAGCATAGCACAGCATAGGAGAGCAGAGCGGAGCAGAGCATATCATAGCATATCAAAGCATAGCGCAGCATCCACTACTACTACTACTACTACTACTACTACTACTACTACTACTACTACTGCTGCTACTACTACTACTACAACTGCTACTACTTCTACTACTACTACTACTACTACTACTACTACTACTACTACTACTACTACTACTACTACTACTACTACTACTACTAGTACTACTACTACTACTACTACTACTACTACTACTACTACTACTACTACTACTACTACTACTACCGCTACTGCTACAACTACGACGATGAGGAGAAGGAGCAGGACGGCGTTTACCGCTCCCACTAATGTTGCTTTCCTAGAAGCTCCAACTCCTAGGTAGGGTCGCACTGGGATAATTGTTGTTTTTGCTTGGTTTTACTTTTGCTTTGCCTGCGCACAGACACGCACACACGCATGTTTCTGCATTCGCTCACCGGGTGTGCTTGAGAATGTTCCGGATCCGCTATGCTACGCTATGCTATGCCATGAGAGAGGCTATACTATGTTATGCTATGCTATGCTATGCTATGCTGCGCTATGCTATGCTATGCTATGCTATGCTATGCTTTTGCTTTGCCTTCGCTTTTGCCTTCACTTTTGCCTTTGCCTTTGCTGTTGCTTGGCACCCAGGGAGCGCAACTGAGGGAACCGCGCGTTTGCGTTTACCTTTGCTGTTGCTTTTGCTTGGCTCCCAGGGGACTGGGGGAACCGCCCGGGGCGGTTTGCACTGCCCGGCCCTTTTAAGCCAAGCGAGTAAGAACCTTTCTAGGCAGAGCCTAGGTAGGGAATGAGTCCGAGGCGCCGAAATCAGCAACCCGCCAAAGACATCCCACAATCTGAGCGCGATCCCTGGAGTGCCTCCACCCCTGGCGTTTCTCCCTGGGGTGCCCAAGTGCGACGCCTATCTTTGAGCACTAGACCACCAACAGACAGGAGTGCGAGTCGTCGAAACAAGCAAACCGCTTGAGACATCCCCATATTCTGAGCGCGTATCATGGAGTGTCCCCAACCCTGGCGGTCTCCCTTTGGATGCCTAAGTGCTACGCCTGCTGTATCGCGGAAAGCACTGGGCAACCAACACACCAACAGACAGGAGTGCGATGATCTAAGTACGAGGAAGTCTTAGTACGAGTAAGCTTGAATTGGACTAGGAACTTTTGTACGAGTGGGCACGAGTACGCCTGAGTCTGAGTGTGACTCAGTCTGAGTGTGAGTGAGTCGTACTACGAGTAGGCATGAACATATGAGAACAAGAGGCGGAAGCGTCCCAGTAGTAACCAGAACCGCATCGTAGGGAATCGTCGCAGGTCTGGGAAGCGAGGGCGGCGTGATGGGGCTGGGAGCGAGAAGGGGTGGGCGGCGCCGCCCGCCGCAGGACGTCTGCCCGCAGCTCGTCCGGCAGGCGCTGAGGATCCTCGAGGGCGCGGAGGCGGCCGTGGCGCGCGGGGTCCCGGCGCTGTGGACGCCCGCCGAGGAGGACGCCGCCCGCCGTCGCTCGTCGTTCGTCGCTCGTCGTCGCTCGTCGCTCGTCAGTCGTCGCTCGTCGTCGCTCGTCGCTTGTCGTCGCCGCGGTCGTCGTCGTCGTCGTCGCTCGTCTCGCTTGTCGCGCTCGTCGTCATCGTCGACACTTCTCGACGCCGTCGTCGTCGTCGTCGTCGTCGTTGCCATCGCTGTAGACGACCGCCGAGGAGGACGCCGCCCGTCGTCGTCGCTCGTCGGTCGTCACCGTCGACGTTCGTCTCATCCAGCGTATTGAAAGAAACAAGGCGGAGGTCTCTCTTCTCTTTCGGCCTCTAGGGGCCCTCGCTGGTCCCAAGGACGGTCGAAAAATGAGTCGGGATGAAGCTGGACCTGAGGAACGGGTCGGGACATCCAGGGACCCCGTGTTCGGGTAGTCGTCTTTCTCCTCCTCCTCCTCCTCCTCCTCCTCCTCCTCCTCGTCTTCATCCTTTGAACGTTGAAAAGGCCTGATGCGAGTGCATGTGGCGTTTTTCCTCCTCCTCCTCCTCCTCCTCCTCCTCCTCCTCCTCCTCCTCCTCCTCCTCCTCCTCTACTTCCGAAGGGCTCGCAGGTGTGCGCGGAAGGGCTCGAGCGTTTCTGTTGGTTCGTGGGATGGGGGAGCGGCAGGCGGAGCAAGGGTTGGGGAGGAGGAGGAGGAGGAGGAGGAGGAGGAGGAGGAGGAGCAGGAAAGGAGGAGGAGGAGGACGATCATTTTCCGTATCCATCTTGGCTCAAGGCAGCTGGCCAGTTCATCATGCTCGGGGGCCCCACAGATAGCGGCGTTGCTGAGGGTGGCCCCTTCGTTTTTTTGTTTTACCCATCTGTTTCATTCACTGCCACATCACGTTTGGGTGTCCGCCAATCAGTTTTAGCAGGATGCCGCGATGCCCGCCAGTGAAAGGTTTGAGAGACCTGGATATGGAGAGCTCCCACAACCGCCGCCGCAGAAGCAGCCCCGTTGTGTTTCGCCTCGTGCAGGGACTGGCTCGCCAGGCTCTGGTACCCGCATTCCTCCTGCCGCTCTTCTTGTTGTCGCCCCCCCAGAGGAGTCTGCACGAGCTTGAGGAGTACTTCGGGAAGTCCAAGGCTGATGCCATGGCCGCCCCAGGGGATGCTGGCACAGCTCGGCAGCGTTGGCGCGTCTTTCGCCCAGCATTGCCAGAGCCTTGACCTCAGCATCGAAAGCCGCTTCGCCGCAGTCATTCGCAGGATCGACGAGCAGGATGAGAGGATCAACGCGCTCGAAAAATAAGTGGGGAATCTCAAGCAGCTGCTCGGTGTCACCCAGAAAGAAGAGCCAGAAGCCGTTGTTTTGGGCCCCGGACTACGACAGGGAGATCGACCCGACGATCCTCGTGCTGCAGCAGGCCCGCGATACGACAAGCCACCACCGAACGGCTCCAGACTGCCAGCGCCAAGGAGGACGCGACTGTGTTGGAAGGCGATGAAGCGGCAAAGAGATGAAACTGTCGTTTCCATGGTGGAGGCGGGTTTGCTGCTTGGAAAGTGGCCATGGCAATGTCTGTCTGCAATGCGTCTCCCAGGCCGTGGTGCAGGCTGGAGCCGCATGCAGGCACCCACTCCGACAGGCGGTCCATCCAAGATCATTGTCTCCACCGGCAAACTCCCATCCATTGTGCAGCGCGAGACGGGCATCAAGCTCATCAAGCGCGCCACTGGGGAATTGTGCTCCAACGAGAAGTTCCGCATCGACCGCGAGAGAGACTTGTTCACGCTTAATTGGAAGGCCCTGGCCAAAAACACGCCGCAGCCAGGGAATGAACAACCGAAGATCGAGCACTCCTTCGCAAGCTTGCGCTCGGCCAGCCTGGACCAGGATCGGCTGCGGCAGACATTCCAGCCGCTCTTTGCCGCTGCCTCAGCGGACCAAGAGTGGAGTCTTTAGTATCTTCTTTGCCCGATGGCAGGGGCAACGTTTGAAGCGCAGCTTGTCCGGCCGAGTGACCTGGGACCCCCGCTCCCTCTCCCGCCGCGGCCTTAACCTCCGCGCTAAGAAGTACCAGCACTTCGCCTCCAACTCCCCCCCGAAACCAGCCCAGCCTCGCCGCGATCCAGGAGATTCAGGGAACAGAAGATGACATCCACGACGTTTTAAATTATGCTAGGGAGGACCAAAGCCACGATTTCTCGTTTGCAGACGCTGACATCACGGGGGGGGGGGGGCGGCTACGTTTGTGCCGAAGTGTTTTAGAATGATGGGTGAGTCTGGGGACTCGATTCTGAATGCCATCCTCAACGTTATCGCGGATGGGCGGGCCATTCACGCATAAATCTTGTTCCGTGTGAGCGACGGGTGGGCCTCCCGCCCCCGCTGCAGCGCGCATGGTTCCGGGCCGCCACGGGAACAAAATCGGATGTCAACAAACATGCGCCGACACCGAACCCGTGAGGCTAGACAAATATTTCCCCACCCTTCTTGGTTAGGTCTTCGTTTTGAATAGAGGGGTGTTTTGGCGTCCTCCTCCTCCCGCCTCCCGCCTCCTCCTGCCCTCTCTTCGCCGACGATGGGGGCTGCGATCTGCGAAACTGTCGCCACTTTCGAGGGCTGCTGGTGGGTCCTGCGCAGTGGGGCGCCGCGCAGATCTGAGCGAGCTGGTGGGTCCTGCGGTGTGGGGCACCGCGCAGATCTGAGCGAGACCTCGCCGTCCCTCGGGGCTGCGATCTGCGAAACCGTCGCCACTTTCGAGGGCTACTGGTGGGCCCTGCGGAGTGAGGCACCGCGCAGATCTGAGCGAGACCTTGCCGTCCCTGGGGGGCTGCGATCTGCGAAGCTGTCGCCGGTTTCGAGGGCTGCTGGTGGGTCCTGCGGAGTGAGGCACCGCGCAGATCAGAGCGAGTCCTCACCGTCCCTGGGGGGCTGCGATCTGCGAAGCCGTCGCCACTTTCGAGGGTTGCCGGTGGGTCCTGCGGAGTGAGGCACCGCGCAGATCTGAGCGAGACCTCGCCGTCCCTGAGGGGCTGCGACCTGCGAAGCTGTCGCTACTTCCGAGGGCTGCTGGGGGGTCGTGCGGAGTGAGGCACCGCGCAGATCTGAGCGAGACCTCGCCGTCTTCGGGGGGCTGCGATCTGCGAAGCTGTCGCCAGTTTCGAGGGCTGCCGGTGGGTCCAGCGGAGCGAGGCACCGCGCAGTTCTAAGCGATACCTCGCCGTGCCTTTGGGGTTGCGATCTGCGAAACGGTCGCCGCGTTCGAGGGCTGATGATGGGTCCAGCGGAGGGAGGCACCGCGCAGATCTGAGCGGGACCTCGCTGTCTCCGGGGGGCCGCGATCTTTTTTTTGCTGCAGCCGCAGGCGGAAGCGCCAGCGGCGGGAGGTCGCGAACGGGCCGCGGACGCGACTAAATTACCTAACGCGCGCGGGGCCGCGGATCAGGCGGCGCGCGACAGCGTCCAGGGCGGCGGAGCCGATGCAATCCAGGAGCCAGAGACAGCCCCAGAACGGGCATGCAGCGGCGCGTCCAACAGGCCTGAGGTAGGCACCGAGGAGACCAAGCGCAGCCAACATGGCGCGAGAGGCGCTTCCAAAGTCCAGGTGCGAACGAGAGGGACGTTCCCGAGGGCGACGATCCAAGCCTGACGGGTAGCACAGACCGCCTGGAGACGTAAGTCCAGGGGGATCCCGACGGCGGCAACGAGCCGCGACGCCGGAACGGCATCCAAAGTGTGGAGCACGTTGCCGAGCAACTTCCACACCGAGATGCTTCAGCCCAGACCCAGCGAATGGAAGGGCGCCTTAGTGCACGCTACACGGTCGAAACGCGGCGTGTGCACATCACAGTGTCTCAGTGCTGTCCAGAACGAGTCGGAGAGCACACGCGGGCCGAGACCGCGTATACCCAGGCACGTCCCTCAAAGCCACTGATCCAGGGTCACGGCGGAAGGCCGTCCAGCCTTGAGAGTTCCCGAAGACACCGATCCAGAAGCCTGACGGGTACCACAGACTGACCGGGGACAAAAGTCCAGCAGACAAAGCTGACGGCGAACCGAGTCGCGACGCAAAAAAGCGCATCCAGGGCGCGGAGCATGATGACAAGAGTACCTTCCACAACTGAGATGCGCCAGCCCAGATCCGACGAGTGGAAGGGCGTCGCAGTGCACGATGCACGGCAGACCCCGAGGAGTATGCACAACTAAGGTTTCCCAGCGCTACCCAAACCGAGTCGTCTAGCACCAAGGGACGAAAACGCCATGTACCCAAGACGCGTCCCTCAGAGCCACATGGATCCAGAGTGACGGCGGAAGGCCGTGCTGCTTGTATATCGAAACGGTTTCGAGGGGCGTGTCGTTGTCATACGATGGTCCCTCCTCGGCTGCTACCAGACTCGTTCGGGTAGCAATGAACGCGGCGAGAGCACGGCCAAAGGGACACAGTGCTAACCAAACGAGTCGGATAGCACCCGAGGGACGAGACAATCGGAAACCCAAGACGCACCCCTCAGAGCCACACCGATCCAGGGTCACGCCGGAAGGCCGTTCAGCATTTAGGAGTTCCCGAGGACAACGATCCAGGGAGTCTGACGGGTAACACAGACTGACTGGGGAAATATGCCCAGCTGACAAAACTGACGGCGAATCCGCGTCGCGACGCAAGAACGCGCATCCAGGGTGTGGAGCATGATGACAGGAGGACCTTCCACAACTGAGATGCGTCAGCCCAGGTCCAACGAGTGGAAGGGCGTCGTAGTGCACGATACACGGTCGACCACGTGGCGCGTGCACATCCAAAGTGTCTCAGCGCTACCCAAACCGAGTCGGATAGCACCCGAGGGACGAGACCGTTATATGCCCAAGACGCATCCCTCAGAGCCACTTGTATCCAGGATGACGGCGGAAGGCCGTGCAGCTTTTTTAAGAGTCCAGGGAGAGGGACGCGGCCTACGGACAGGCGAAACCGCCGGAGCCCACAGCCGCGCGCCAGGCTGCGCCTAGCAGGTGAAAACAACTACAATAAGGCCTGGGGCCACAGGTCCACCCGCACCAGTGCTGGCCGAGTGGACAGTGAACTGACGCGGACACCTGTATCCAAAGGCAGGAGGTGCGCGTGCCAGGGGGGGGGGGGGCGGCAGAAAGCCGCAAGCGGGGGAACAGGAGAGAGGGAGAAGGGGCGCCGGGGAAGGGGAGAGAGAGGGGGAAAAGCAAGGCGGGAGGGGAGTCTTCTCTTCCACGCCGCTACGGCACCTGGGACGAACGCTGTGGGCAACTCTCTGCCGGCCGCCATCCGATCCAGGGTAGCGACGGAAGGTCGCAAGTTTTGTGTGTATCGTACGGATGAACGCATCACCACCTCCTCCAGAAACGTGCCTGCCGCACCCGAGCCCTTGGAAGCGACAGAGCGCCGCGTCGGCGCCGGAAGGCGCTCCAGCAGCACACCCACCTGCCGCCGCAATGCTGTTGCCATGGGGGGGAGCAAAGGAGCATGAGGTGGTGGCCGACGGCCCCAGCGACTGGCAATGCGATGGCTTGAGCACGCGCCGCCACAGGTTGAGCCAAGAGGTGGCAGCCGACAGCCCCGGCGACAGGCAATGTGATAGCATGGGCTCAAGCCGCACGCCGAGAGGAAGGAGGAGCGGCCAGAGTGAAATGAGGGGAAGCAAGGGCGGGCGCGCCCGCAGCTTATGGGACGACCACCGACTGCACCAGGTCCGTCTGGGGTGCGCGGCGAGCAGCGTGGCCCTTCGCCGCCTGGCGCCCCCTGCCCGCCCGTCACTCACCCAGGTACCGAAGCCGCACCTGCGTCCAGTCGACGCCGAGGTCCAATGCGTCGCCCATGGCCCGCACGTCACAGTTGAAGCGGTAGCGGAAGGACGACGGGAAGTTGACGCACGTTTGCCGGTCGTGCCGCCGCGGGTCAAGCGCGCCCTTGCGGCTAGGCAAGGCGCGCTGCCGGGCGACCAGGGGGGGGGCGATGGGCTATGACCTCGCTGGAAGCTCCTCGGGCTGAAGGCCCGCCTTCTGCGTGCTCGGCTCTGTCAAATCCAGGAGAGGCGGCGGGCGAGGGGCACTTCCCGTCGCCGCTCGTGGCCACGCGCCCGTCGGCACTCTCGGCAGCCCTTGGTGCCGTCCCTGATTCTCGAGCTGAAGGCTCGTCACCTCTGAGGTGGCTGGATGCGCCTTGGAGTCTCGAGCTGAAGGCCCGCTCTGCTGTGTCACAGGTCGCTCCAAGGGCTGAAGGCCCATCTTCTATGTCAATTATGCTACCTCCCGCTGCGTCTTGGGCCCTCGAGCTGAAGGCTCGCTCCGCATGAGAATCTCGAGCTGAAGGCTCCGACTGAAGGTCGCAATGTCAGCGTGCATCGCGGGGTTGATCGCATCAACCCGTCCTCCCGCTTCCAAGGTATCCGATCCAGGGAAGCGACTGAAGGTCGCAATGCCAGTGTGCATCGCGGGGTCGATAGCATCAACCCGCCCCCCCGCTTCCAAGGTCCCCCCCCCCAACGTGGGCGTCCCACTGCCTGCCGTCATCCGATCCAGGGTAGCGACGGAAGGTCGCAATATCCGTGTGTATCGCAGGGATGGGCGCATCACCCCCTCCTCCAGGATCGCGCCTGCCGCTCTCAGGCCCAGGGGAGCGACCGAACGCTGCGTCGGCGTCGGAAGGCGCTCCAGGGACTGAAGGCCCATCTTGCATGGTCAGTGCGCAGCCGAAGGCTGCATCACTCGGCGCAGGCGCGTCCAGGAGGGGAGACTCGGCGGAGTGTAGGCACAAGCCTCTGCGAAGCGAGTCGGGACCAAGGGCAGGCGTCTGCCCGTCTCCCCTGCCGACGCCCTCGCGAGCGCCACCAGGGAGGGCCAGTTCCCTAGGCCCCCCCTCCAAGTCACTGTGGTCCCTGGGTCGAACGCCGAAGGCATCTCTCCTCGTCAGTCTGCCTACGAGGACCTGGATACGG